TTTTGATTTTTATTGTAGAGATGAGGTCTCACCAAGTTGCCCAGGCGGGTCTCGAACCTGCGGGCTCAGGCAATCCACTCACCTCAGCCTCCTGAAGCGCGGGATTACAGGCTGAGCCACTGAGCCCGGCTGTTCGTTTATTTTTCTAGAGATAGTGTATCTTTTTGCTGCCCAGGCTCCCACCTCCACCTCCTGAGTAGCTAGGATCATGCACACATAATATTTTTTTATTTTTGTAGTGATGGGAGTCTCCCTATTTTGCCCGAGCTGGTCTCGAACTCCTGGTCGTAAGCCATTCTCTGGCCCCAGCCTCTGAAAATGCTGGGATTACAAGCATTAGCCACCACGCCCAGTCTGAATATGTATGTATGTATGTATGTATGTATGTATGTATTTGAGTCGGAGTCTCACTCTGTCGCCCGGCTGGAATGTAGTGACAAGCTCACGGCCACTGCAGCCTCGGCCTGCTGGACTCAGGCGATCCTTCAGCCTCAGCCTTCCAAGTAGTTGGAACTACAGGCGCGCGCCACTACGCCCAGCTAAGCTTTTTTATTTTTTGTAAAATAAAGTTGCCCAGGACGGTCTCGAACTCCTGGGCTCAGGCAATTCCCTGCCTCCACCTGGCATAATCGAGGTCGAATTGCTGGGATTACGGTCGTCAGCCACCTCGCCCGGCCCACGTGCCTGAGCCTACTGGTCGGAGAATCACACCCAGGGTCCCAGAAGGTGGTTCCGACCGCAGCCTGGGAAGGTGTCCCGGTGGGCCGGGCGCTTGCGGTGGGGTCGGGACAGTTCTGTGTTGCAATTAATTTGAACGTTCACTCTGTTCCACCAGGGGGCAGAAGGGGCCAACAGACAACCTCCCACTTCCGAGCATCCTGCTTGTTTCTTTTTTCCTGACGTATTTCTCTTGTTTGGAGTCGGAGCCTCACTCCGTCGCCCGGACTGCAGGGCAGTGGCACGCCGCTCCGGCCACCGCGGCCTCGACCCGCGGGGCTCCGGCGAGCCTTGCCCCTCAGCCTTCCGAGTAGCTGGAACTGC